GATCTAAATTAGACTAAGGAAAGGTTGCATGCAGGATGGTTTATTGATCACTAACTTGCTTGACTACTAGTTATTGAACACTAGAACAAGGTAAAAATGCTTTTTTTGTGTGGCTCTTTAAAGAGGATCGCCGGGGCGCCTGGGTGGCTCAGTCGGTTAAGCATCTGCCTTCAGCTCAGGTCATGTTCCCAGGGTCCCGGGATCGAGGCCCACATCGGGCTCCCTGCTCGGCGGGAACCCTGCTTCTCCCTCTCCTACTCCTCCTGCTTATGTTCCCTCTCTCACTGTGTCTCTGTCAAATAAAAAAATAGGATCCCCAACGTGTTCCTAGTTAAGAAGTTAAATCAAAACCCCAACACATTTCCATAGCCAGTTACAGATTTTTCTGTATTGCATGATTTAAAAAGGAAATTTACAAAAAAACCAACCAACCAGCGAGGACACAGAATAAGCCCGTAGATTGCTTTCCCAAAGGCAAGCGGGGCCAACAGCCTTGTCCTGCCTGCTGTAGGGACTTACACTTGGGTCAACATCTCAGGCTCCCACAGGCGGTCCCAGAACAGCAGGACGGGCATCCCCCACTCCGGAACTGCTGCTTCACAGGCTGCATCTAACTAGATCCCCACCTCGCCCCTTCGTTAGCAAACTTGAGTCTTGAGAAGTTCTGCTTGAGAAACTGGTTCCAACTGCAGGTCAGGACAACATTTACTAAAATTCTCAAGCTTAATGTATAAAGGCAATCCAGCCTGTAGTGTTACTGACACTTGCCAGATCCGAAGCACCATCCGCTGCCATGGATTGCAGGGTGCTGCATGGCCCGCCTTTGCCCACCGCAGGAATTCCGCACGGCTGTTCCTTCTGAAGGATGCCCTTTCTCCCCTTCAGATCTCATGTCAGATGAGCTTTCCCTGCCCAGAGAGTAACCAGACCTCTTATTAAAAGTTCTCATTTTAGGGGTACCTGGGTGGTTCAGTCCGTTTAAGCGCCTTGATTTCAGCTCAGGTCATGATCTCAATGCCTCCAGCAGGCTATGCTCAGTGGGAGGCCTGCTGAAGATTCTCTCACCCTCTCCCGCTGCCCACACTCTAAAATCTTCTTTAAAAAAAAGGAAGCTCATTTTATTTATTTTTTTTTTTTAAAGATTTTATTTATTTATTTGAGACAGAATGAGAGACAGAGAGCATGAGAGGGAGGAGGGTCAGAGGGAGAAGCAGACTCCCCGCCGAACAGGGAGCCCGAT